CACATTTGCAAGTAGATGTTATTATGGATTAATTAAAAACAAATAAATAATATAAAATTAAAATCACTGACTGCTATTGGTACACAAACTGGAACATATATAAGGATTAATAACTGGTTGAAATAGGTAATGGCAATACTTTCATTCAGTCTCTTTTGGCCACATGTGACTTATATGATTAAGAAACATCCAGACTTCAGGAAACATACACTTTACCTTACTGATAGAAAAGAATAAATACCCATCTCTTACTATATGATAGATGTATTTAAATATATAGTTGGATGCATCCATGAATCCATTAAATTAATATAATGGAATTTATACTTATAAAATTATAGTTGTTATGGAATAAGCTTTAAAATATACTAAGCATTTAAGCAATAATTGTTTTACTGTAAACATCTCATAGCTTTATGTGTGTTTCCTTGGAAGGTTCTGTGGAGAACTCTAAAAAATAATGCTTCTTCCTAGACTTGCACTTGGTTGTCTGTGGCAGTTAAAACAACTCTATTTTCAAGTTAAAAATCTTTTGGCAAAAGCAGAAGGTCCTTAAAACTCACTCTCCCTCTCTTTCTCAGGAGAGCAATGAAAACTAACTAATGACATCAGTTTCATACAGAGTAGAAAGTTACTTTATGTAAATTTGAAGATCAGCATTTACTAGTTTACTTCTTTTATTTTTCCCATCTTTCCTTTAAAAGATCTGCATTGATTATCCTGACACCTGCTGGCAAGGGCACAGTTGATTCCAGTCTAACTTTCCATTCAATGCCTCAAATCAAAGACTTTTTCAGTGACAATTAAGTAGTAAATCATGAAATTTAAGTGTTAATAGTATTTCATTCTAGTAATAGCATCTATCCATGAGAAAAAATTTCAATACTTATTCCACTTTCAAATAGGCAATTTTTGGACTTTGTGCATAAGTGCACATTAAAGATGTTAAAATCATTACATAGTCTATGACTTTAAAAAATGCTAAGTATCTTCCTTAAAACACAGATTGGTGTTGAAAAAAAGGAATGTTCTGACTTTGGCTTTCTATGTCTTTAGAAATAATATCAGATTGCAAACTACATAGGAAATATACTCAACTCTATGAAGAATAAATTGGTTAGCTATGATAGAAGCCATGCTATTAATGACATATTTGCAAAATTTGTCATTTATTTTGCAATATCTACTTATTTTTAATTACTTTGCCATGACCTGTATTCTCTTGGGGCTGCGTGTGTGTGTGTGTGTGTGTTGTGTTTTATTTGTTTGTTGACGAAGATATAATGAGCCTACTGCATCATAAATCTTATTCAAAGCTACTGCACCTGCAAGTGTATTCAGTAAACAACACATATCAGAATTACTTTCTGAGGCTTTAGAGGATGCACAAATCAAGTAGGGATTTTTTTCAATTGTACATAAATAATAATATATAGTCCATTCCACTAATCAAGACACTTTAGCAGATGAAAAGTTTTGAAATAATTTATTACCGTACCAAAGATAAAAAAAAAATTCTCTTAACATCTGTGAAATTAAGAGTTTGAACTGCTAGTCTACCAGAAGTATCAAACTTGTATTTCATAATGGTTTTGAGTAATCAACCTATTTTGTTTAAGTTATGTATGTGTTATTTCTTTACTCTATATTGCTATAATTCTATGAGAAGGAAAATCATACTTTATCTAAAGATAAAAGATGACTTATTAAAGTATTTATCAAAAATATCCTAGATCCTGAATACATGTCATTATAAACACTGATGTTAAGATATTTGAGGAAAACACAAGAGTTTAAATTAGAGAAGAGTCAGACGTGAAATACATTTGTCTAGTTATGAAGGTCTTTGGAACTTCAGGACCTCAGAAAGAAGAATAGACCATTTCAGTTTTTTAACCATTCATTTTTATTATAGTCTTTCCCCAAACCATGTAAATTTAAACCAAAATACATTCCAATTCTAAGGAAACATTTCCAAAATATCAGAAAAACTTTTACACGATCAGAGGGCAAAAAAACATGTGTGTTGTACCATGACAGCGTACGGTATGGCCAATATTTGGTACTAGTGCCAACCTGTCAGCAAGATACTTTATCTTTGCCAACTGATTTTTTTTGATATCTCAAAATTATTTTTAAAAAGTTTCCTCTGGAACCTACCTGAAGTTAGCATTTATTTTTAAAGTATAAAAATAATGGTCATGTAAATTAGGTAATGACACTAATAGATAATACTTTTTAAAATACAAGAATTGCATTTCAGTATAAATATTGCTATACTAATCATAGAAGTACAGTACTGCTATCTTGAGTGATTATTCAGATAATTTATACTCATGTAGAATTAACTAAAACACACCACTGATTAAAAAAGTAAATGCAAATGCCAATGATTCATAGTATTTGGGACATGTCTAGACATTTTTAGACAGTGCCATTTGCTTAAAGACTTCAGGCACAAACTGCAGGCACAGGGACAGATTGCATAAGATGTCACGTGCTTGCTGCAACTGTATGCATGTTATTGGATTTTTTAGAGCAACCCATAATGATGAATAATTTAAGAGTTAATAAAATATTCAATCTGACTGATCCATTGGTTTAATTTTAAAATAAAAACTACTAATGAAAAGAATTACAGATCCTTATCTAATTCCGAGCATTAATGCACATAAATAACAACCCACGTAGGGAAACACCAATTTCTAAAAGGCGTACATAGCTAAATGATGTTGGAGAGGGGTGGTGCCTGGGAAATTCTCCGTGTTGACACTGGTTTCAATAAGTTTGCTAAAAGTTTAATTGTCTGGAGCTGTCGCACAAGATGCACTCCGCCTTCTGCAGGACCGATGGAGAATAAATTAGAAAGGTGCTAGTTTAACAAAAAGAGATAACGGGAAAAGGTCCATTTCTTTTCTAATGCCCCCTTTTTCTCTCGCACAAGCTGGCTGGAAAAAAAAAAAGAAAGAAAGAAAGAAAGAAAAAGGGAGAAATCTGAAGAAGAATAGGGAGTGCACAGCTGCTGGAGCATTGTCTAGGAGCCAGAATGGAGAGCCCAGGCAACAGCTGAGAGGTTGGTTCGTCTGTCTGGCGGAGTAAGCTGTGCCCTGGGGGTGGGTATCTTTACCAGACAGAGATCCTGGCTGCAGTGAGCCAGAGCTCACCATGTCCCTGAGCTCCCGCAACCGCGGTCACGCAAGCTAGAAGCAGTTCTTCGCTCTTAGCCCGGCCGCCCTCCACCTTAGCGCAGGGGCCGACGGTGGCAGCGCCTAGGTGCGTGCGAGTGGATGAATGTGTGTTTTCGTGTTTGGGGTGGGAACGGAGGCGGGGAAAGCAAAAGGGGAGTGCCTGCAGCTCTCCTCTTCCTCTTCCTGATAAGAAATTAAAGTGCAGAAGGGATCCAGTCTGGGGGGGGGGGGAGGGGAGGTGAAGGAAAAAAGAAAAGCAAGAAAAGGAAAAATAGCCGTGATGGGTGTACAGGCTAGTTCATATCGCTGGGGGCACGCGGCCGAGCAAATTCAGAGCGGTTACCATTCCTTAACCTTCACTGGAGTGGCTGCCTCTGCCGGATAACTGAAAGGACACTTAGTAAAGGCTGGCGAGGCGCACACCTACACACACGCCTACTTGCTGGGGAAAATAGCCACATTCTGGGGGAGGGAGGGAGGGAAACCAAGGAAAGGTGCGGCCATGGATCGCTACTGGCAGAGCAATGAGGGCATCTGGCCAGGAATGCCCGGCTTCTTGCACAAACAGTAGCCCATCGGTACACAATTGCCTATGGATGGATGGTGCAGACTATTCCTACAGTTTTTCATCTCAAATGGATTCGTGTCAATACATTTTTAATGCAACTACCCCTTTTAAAGGCACAGCATTTTAAACCCTGTATTGCACTCAGCTCTCCACTTGAAGCAGCCTGCGGAGGGTTTTATTACCAGAGGACCCCTTAAAAGGGGCCTCCAGTATTCGGGAGTGAAGAAGGGGCACGGGTCCACCTCGCGCGGCCTCCCAAGATCCCTTGTCTCTCCCCCTGCCCTTTCGCGGCGCCAACTTCAGCCCCAACCACGAAGCAGTGAGATCAAGACTAGGTTGGTATTAACAAGCCACCCCCGCAAAGGAACTGGAGGTCGTCTACACAACTCGGCAGAAGCTCCAGGATTCCTGTTTTATTTTTGCAGGCTGGTTTATTTCATGCAAGTCATGGGAAGCACGACCAGACCAGCTCTCCCAACTTTTTCGCTCCTGGGCGGGGGCGCGAGGGCTGTCTCTCACCGCACGAATCTCTAGTACCAAGAGTTAAGCTCGTACCCAGAGGGAGTGCAGTGCAAAACTCAAGGGGTTAGAGAAGGGGCGGAGGATGGGGTTTCCTGGGGCTTTTCTGTAATCGCTCCAGCGCGTCCAGGTCGGGGAGGCGGGTGAAAACGGAACTGGCTCGTCAGACCCGTCTGCACCTCGACGCGGCCAAAACTCCCAGCGCCGGGTTAGGGTGTTCGAACCGCTCAGCCCCGCTGGCGCCAGAGCACCGCACCCCGGGGGCAACCCACCCGGCAGCTCTCCAGCTTCTCTTTTCAACTGGCTGATGCCCAGGGCTAGCTGGTTTCTCCAGCTCCAGGCCCCCTGAATACTCCCCCCCAACCCCACCCACTCCGGCGCCGGTACCCAACCCGGCCGGCCAAGCTCGGGAGGGTTCGCGCGGCTACGCGGTGGCCAAGTGAGCCCCGAAATCTCTGGTTCCCCAAACCTCAGTTCCCTCTCTTCTCCCCTCTGTCCCAGTCGCTCCCCCACCTCCCCCACAACCCCTCACCCTCTCCCCGGCTCAACCCTGCGCACTGCGCCGACTTTGCGAGCACTTTTCCCAGGCGCGCCGCTTCCTCCGCGCCGCCCGCGGCGCAAGCCGTTCCAGGCGCGCCGGGGGAACCGCGGCCAGCCCCGCGCTGCGGCGTTCCCACGGGACTTCCCGCCTGTCCCGCACCTAGCAGCCCGGCCCTGCGCCTCACCTTTGCAGAACTGGGGGATCCCCAGGCTGAGCCAGACCAAGAGCCAAGCGGCCACGGAGTGCTTCATGATCCCGTCTCCAGGACGTGACCCCGACTGGTCAGGGGTCGTAGCGGGGGGCAGTGTCGCTGAGCTGGCACCGCAGGGCAGCGGCAGACCTCGCCCCTAGCAGAGCATTCAAGAAGATGTCTTCTTCCCGCAGCGCTTCCTTCAACAAAATCTTGGAGAGGGCGAGAAAGAGTGGTGACCGGCAGGAGGGATCTTTCTTCGCCTTTTGCCTACGCTCGGGCGCAAGAAGGTGGGCTGGCTGGGGCAGCCTCCCGCGGGCTCAGCCTCCGCTGCGGGTGGGTCCTGGCCGGGGCGCGGCGGGCGGGGCGGGGCGCGGGCTTCGGCGGCGTCTCCGAGTCACCCGCGCGGGCGGACCCGCAGACGGTGCGCGCTTTCTGGCCGCTCTCACCGCCGCGGCTGCGGGGTTTCTGACTTGGAGAACAATGAAGCGTGAGCAGCGGGGAGCGAGCCGGCTGTCGAGAGCTCACTGTGTACAAACAGAGGCGGCGTGCGTGTGAGCCCAGCCTCGCGGGCGCGCTCCCCGGGCGCCTGCCCGCCCCCCTCCGCCCTCCGTCTAATTTTCTCCCCCCTCCCCCTCTCTCCCCCCTTCTCTCTCTCTCTCTCTCTCTCTCTCTCTCTCTCTCTCTCTCTCTCTCTCTCTCTCTCTCTCCCCTCTCCCCCCCTCTCTCCTTCTCTCTCTCTCTCCTGGCTCCTTCTGCTGGAAGGAAAAAGGGAGACAACTACCGCCACACCCTGACACCTGCCACTACCTCTGAAGTTCCTACTTAACCTGTGCCTTCTGCACACATGCTTGGGACTCTGGGTCATGGGAAGGAAACACCGCTGGGGGCTGAGATGCTCTTGGATTCCACGCTGACTTTATAATTAACCACGTTAAGGATTTCCCCCAAAGTCCCGTTTTCAGGATAGCCAGGGAAAGAAGTTAAGAGATTTTGGAAAGTGGCTCTTGGGGCAGGAAGCTGCATGAGAGACAGAATCCTGCAAAGTGAATCGCCCTGGATTCTCAGTAAATGCGACTTACTGAGCAGCAGGACTCTGATCAGCTAAGACAGGGCTGTTCTGTTATTCCATCTGCACTTTCTTAGCTCTAGAGCTGGGGAGAGAGGGTGGTGGGCTCATCTGTTCACAGGGCAAAAGGTGAAGGCTTAGGGAATCAAGTAGGAGATGTGGGACTCATTAAGCATCTGTTTCAGATGACAAGTATTGGGGCTAGTTCATAACGAAGCAAGAAAATAGAAGGCAAGGACAAATTCTTGAAGCATCACGAAGGTGGTGGATCAAATTTCCCTGCTACCCACCAAAAGCAATATAGATGGATTGGTTTTTGCAGTTAAAGTGGCTGAACCAAAATACAGTTCATGGCTTAACAATAGTGCTTGCTCCTCAGATTTTCGGTCAGAATGATTGCTTAGTGTATGTGGGTTCAATTCGGCAGTTGCAGGTACCAAAATGAAATTTCAGCTCTTTTTTTTTTTTTCCCCCTTCTGGAGAGGGAGGTAGGAAGAGAGACAGAAATACAGATAGTGAAACTGAAGGCAACATTCTTGAAGGCAAGGATTTGAAAGAATGTACTAAGAAAAGGATAACAGGACAATTGGTCATGCAACTTCATCTTCCTTTGCCTCCTTGAGTCCTTTAAACTTCAATTTCTACTTCTTTTCCAAATTTGAAATGAGATCAAGGATGGAAGGGTGAAGGAAAAGTAATACCACATACTGCTATGGAGGAGTTAAGGTATTGTACCACTGGCAAACAAACAATAATAACCCAAAATTCTTTCAAAACAAGATCTGTTCAGATCTCATTGTTTGGTGGGAGTGTAAAAAGAACATTTTCACAAGTAACTTTTCTAAGGGAGAGGGGGAGTTGCTTAAAGCCACAGATGTCAGAATAAGACACCATAGTCCAGAGCTGAAGCAGAGAACTTTTAAACAATCAAATTCCTAATTTCTAACACATCATTGTTACTCCATTTTGAAAGTTTGCCTTCAGGATTGCTGTGGCATGTTCATTGTAAAGTCCCTCTTTAACTTTTTGAAATGAGATGCTTAATATTAGTTTTAAGGTTTTATTTATAAAAAGGTAGTATTAAGTCTCTAAAACGTTGAATCAGAAACTGTGTCTCTATGCATAGATATTAACAAAAAAAAAAGTATGTCAAAGGATTTGTTTTGTCTCCTGTCTTAGTCCCTATTTGTTCCCAGTTTTCTGATAAATTATGATCTTAGTATGTATATTAGGAAGTTAAATAACTTTTGGCAACTTCATATGCTACTAAAATTTTATCTTTCTTTTAATCTAACCTACATGTGTTTTGTGCTCTAGGAGAGCATAAAATTACAAAAAAAAAATCACATCCCATGACCAACTCCAAATATTTAGAATTTTGTGACCTTAAATGCCATCCTGTATTATCTGGTACACAACTTGTACAATATATTGCTGGTTTAATACCTCTTCCTTGTGTCCCATTTCCAATCTAAATTTCACACAGAGTTAGATTCATAATTCCCTGCACATTGTTAACCCCTCTCATAGATAATGATCATGTACAAATAAGCCTTTAATGTTGAAGAAACCCAGGTACTTTGCCAATTTACATTTACAGGAAACCTTTTGCTCTCACTAAATTCATATATAACCTGTACACAAGTGAAATATAAGAAATGTTAAAAGACCACAAGAAATAGATACATTTTATTAAAAGAAAAAACAGAAGTATAAAATTCTGATGAAATTTTTTTCCTTGACATAAGGAACTTTTACTAATCACATATGATCCAACTTACAGTTTTATACCTTCTCCAAATATGTGTCCAAAGTACTGAAAATGTACCTACATATCATTTGAAGACACTACTTCCCAAAATATTTTCTGCAGACTTACTTTCCCCAATATACTAATAAATGTCTATGAGGGGGTAGGGAGGCAGGTCCATGGTCAAATAATTTTGGGAATCATCACATATCAAACCTGCTTCTTGAGGATTCATCTTAAATGTTAGCATATTAAAAACTTTGAAAGGTCATGCGTGTGGTTAAGAAACTTTTCTGTAAGTCCTTAATCCAGCATTTTGCAAACTTTCCTTTTTCACTTTGACAAGCTATTTTTCAGAACACCTGTTAACATATTGTAGATTTAGTGCTTCGAGGATAACAACTTGAGAAATGTTGCTTGAAAATAACAAAGAATAAAGTACAAGCAAAACAAAGAAAAACAGGATTGCAGAAACTTTACTGCTTTTCAGGAATTACTGGATCAGATTTTGGATTCTGGAGTATACATCTGAATTAGATATGGTACTTTCTTTACCATTATAATGCTTGATTTGAACAAGTCAATGAATCTCCAGGCCTTAGTATTCTCATCTATAAAATGGAATTAGTATAAGTACTGAACTCATAGCAATAGATTATTGTGGAACACAGGCACACAGTGATTATGATTATAATAATGAATGAGAAAACAGTAATTATGTAAGGTTCACAAAAGAATTTTCCTCAAAAACTCATTATTGGGTTGTCAGAAAAGTCATGATATTTTGGGGTATGTTTTCTATGCAAAAATGCATCATGACTTTTCTGACAATCCATTATCTCCATTGACCCCTTCTCAACCCACACTAAATTTTCTGGAAAAAATTTTAACTCACCTTTTAAATGATCAAACAATACTAAATCCAGTATTTCTTATTATTTCTGTACTATTGAATTGTATTTATACATAAACTAGATACAAGAAGAGTCAGATTATTTGATCAAAGTATACTTGATGCTATTACATTTTTTGTCACCTTGCAATTGAAAATTTTATTTTCTTGACCTAAAATGCCCCCAAAGTAAAATAGGAATTTCAGCTTTATAAGATATAAAGCAGAAAACCCAGTGAAGCCCAACTAGGCTTATGATCTATGAAATTTTGAGCTAGTAAGTTGGTGCTGTTCTAAACTAATCACTAACTTTATGGTAACTTGTTATGTGTCAAGAGGAAACTAATTCAGTTGATCACTATTATTATTTCCTTTTTTAAAGGGAAGAAGTAAGGTACAGATTAGTGAGGTAAATTGCCCTTGGTCTAAAATTATTAAGTATAGGGAGCAGTAATTGAGCTTAAGCCATCTGAACCCGGAACCCTCTAAACTCTACTGGCAACAGTTAGAGCAGGGCTATTATATGCTAATTACTAATACCTTTTTACATGTATTCTGTCACTGAATCACCCAAAGGCTTTTAGGAAGGGAATGTTATCCATTCCACTTAAAAGCTGTGGAAACCAAGGACCAAAAACATTTAAGTCATTTGCCCAAGATTAAAGCCTGAGTATGGGTTGGAGCCAGGGCCATGATTTGAATCTTCATTTGATTCTAGGAGCATTTTCAAAACTATTATGTTATACCATACATTGAGACAGTGGCCTAACATTTTATTTACTTATATTTTCAATTTTAGTAGATGTAGTTATAATTGCCATTTTTAATTGTCTCTATTGTCTCTGACCTCCTTGATTTTTCATTTGAGAATATGCTTTACTTAAATGTAGAGTTCCAAGCACATTTTTAAATGTTCTAAAATATTTGCAGAACTCCTAACACTTTTTGTCATTGCTCTTCATAAGCACCATCTTAATTTTTTCCTGCAACCCTGTGCTTATTCTGTTTCCCATTCCTATGTGGAATGACCTTTTACAAATTCAACTAGCTGAATTCCTATCTTTCTTTAAGATCTCTTCAAATTATTTCAGCACCACAGAACCATGATTTCTTATAATGAACACTTTTTATTTTTCTCTAGTTTTTCATTGGTGTTGGCCTTATCTTCCCAAACAATTATAAATAGCTCATGCCATGAAGATAACTGTATGCCTTAGACATAGCTGAGCACTGTGTTTTAAACTTCTTCACTCTTCCTGTAACAGGGTGGTCCCCAGGAAAGGGGGAGGTTCCCTGCCCCACCCAAGGGAGGGTGGAGCTGAGCAGGGAGAGAAGAAGCTGCAGAAGAGACTGAGGAAGGAAGCAGGATGGAGCCAGGAGACCTGGAGGAGGCGCATGGAGCCTAGAGACACGTAAAGAAACTGCGCTTGTCTTTTGGTGGTGGACTGGGTGACACAGATGTGGGTGAGACCCATGGGGAGGTGACAATGGCAGCTTTTATCTTGATGTTGATTTTGCTCTTTTCCTTCCGGGCTTGTCTGGTTATTTCTGACCCTTTGCTGTGGGTCCCCACTGGAAGATGCTTTATACTTGTGGCAGGCTTTGGGGCTTTGCTCTGGGCCAATCCCAT